CCCCGCCTCTCTCTTTCTCTCCCTCTCTCTGTCGTGCACGTGCGCGCACGCACCACACGCTCGATCCAAATCCCCTTCGGGATGTTTTTGCATGAATTATAGACTCTTGATGTGGGGTTATGAAATGCCTTCTGTACAAGAAGCTGTTCAGTCTTTGCCTGTTTCATTTTATATCAAATAATAATAATAATGAGCACAATCAGTTAATTTGTCAAAAATATGCACCACGTTATCTTTCAAAAATTGCGCACGCAAGAGGAGCAATGTACAGACTGGGACTATTTAACTTGTATTTGACCGGGGTCGCCACTCATTCACCCATACAACACCAATGGCAGTAAATAAAGAATAACACCGCAATCGGAAGAAGCAGTGGAAATAAATTGTGAGGGCGACTGACAAGGTGCTGGCTTGAAATATTTAGCTGCTTGTAAATATTTCATTCCTGCAGGCTTCCCGACTCACCCTAAATTTACGAGGACTGCAATGCTTTCTCCAGGAAGCGTGCATCAATAAAAAATAAACCTGATTTAGATCTCTTAAATGGAGAACTGGAAATAACTATTGTACCTCATCCTGTGTAAACAACACGTCTACCTTATAGGCATGTTTTTAAAGATTTATATAATTTTTTTAAGAAAAAGTTGATTTTTTTTTATAGTGACATTCACTATGAGCAGGCCTATTGCGCTAATAAACAGGCGTTTGTGCATATTTATCTCGCGTAAAGGCTCACAAATGTAACATTTCCTTTTATTTAGCCAGTTGTTTCTGCTACTTCGTGAACCTGTGATTATACCTTATCCAACACCGCCACAGGTTGGCAATGCAATCCTAAATATCGACTGCTGAGCCGACGCGATTGACGCCCAAAGTGTACAGCAATGCGTAAAGGCCTATGACACCATGTCAGAAGGATAAGCCTCCTGACACCAATATCTCCGCACATGCAGCGTAGGGACACAGTGGACGTCATTCAAACGCATCTGTTTTCTTTCTTTTGTCTGTTTCTTTCACCAATCCCAAAGCCTCTCTTCAGTCCTCAGTTACACACACACACGAACGCACAAACTTCAGGCTATTTCAGCTTTCTATATATTAGAGTTGGCAAATCCCTCTTGTTAATGCGGTGCAAGCAAAGGCAGCTGTAGATACACGCTTTCAGACTGAAGAGGTGTCAGACTTATGGCCCGCGGGTTATAACCGGCCGCCAAACGATTCAGTCTGACCTATTGGATAGTTTTGTAAAGAGTGATAATTGCAGTTATTAAAAATTAATTGTTCTATAATAACATGCACTGATATTCTTGCTGTGGCGATACCACCATTATTGCATATTGTGTGAATCAGTTTAAGCATTTCTATATGTGAATGTGCTGTTTAAACGTTTAAGTGAGATACTATTTGCAAAATATTTTACATATAAGAGTGTTGTAGCTTTTTTCTGTAAACGGCACTTGCAGTGACAGCAGACAGACTAAATGTGGACATATTGTTCAAACTGCACTGACTTTTCTGTTTTTTTTTTTCAGCTGTTCATCATCTGTCTGTGAAAGGATGCTTCATTAAAGGTGAACATTTTCACAGTGCAGTGTGAGCCTACTTCTTTTCACTAAAAGAAAAGGGGGTGGGGGCTTTTAAGATGCTTTTTCCAAAAACAGTTATTATGCAATGGTTTTACATGTCAGGGCCACCTGAGATCAAATTGAGCTTTTTGTGGCCTATAAACTGAAATGAGTGTGAAAACTTGTTATTTTGTACCTTCTCCACATCTTCTTACTCAAATCCTCAAATGAGAGACTTGGTTCGAGAAGACTGAAAACAATGTGGTGAGGTATAGGATGAGTCAAGCAAATTAGAGTAGCACCTAGTAATAAAATTCAGCTGTGACCTAAATTGAATGACTACAAATTTAATTCGGAAAGTTGCAAATAAAACTTGTCCACTGAGACTTTTAACAGGGTTGACTGTTATCTTTTCAACCCGCACATTGTTATGAAATAAAATAAAACCACAGTAACCGATTGGAAACCTTTATCATTCTGCACACACTAAAAAATACAACAGTAACCTACTGTAATGAAGAATAATGGAGGCTTTGTAGCACTTTGTCCACAGTGGCTCATTATAAAGCTGCTGTGGCCGTAATTTCAAGAGATTCACTACATTAAAGAGTTTGAGAATATCACTGGCAAAGAGAAACAGCTTGATATATGCATGTTACTCGAGGTGGGTGGCAGCTCCATGACAAACAAGAGCATAAAGAGCACTGCAAGGTGGAGCGATGAATGAGGTGTTTACGATCAGAGATGAGTACATTTACTTTGTGTCATCAATTGCATGTAGCTGGGTCGTAGCTTGCCCTGGGCAGAGGGAGGGAAGGAGTGGGGAATAGTTAGATGTGAACAGGCTGGAAATGACCCAGATTCCCTGGGATCACTGGAGCAGACAAGACACTACAAAAGCCTGTCACCAAGAGCCATCCTGCCACTATCCCATACAGACCTACAGTACCTTTCTCTTTCCATCTGCTCATCATGTCCACAAGCCTGCTGAGATGTAAGCAAACATGTGCACAGGTACACCAAAAATGTTCGTGCCTGCTAAACAAACAAATGCCGGTCTGCATCTGAAATGCATAATATCACCTTTACTTTAAATATGCTCTGATTTGTCTCGCATGGAAACGGCACATTTTAAATCACTAAAACAGCATCAATTGAGAAACCAGAAGGCATTGAGGGAAAGCACTGCCACACAATGATAATGTACACAGCTAATTGCCCGGGCGGGAAGCCGCTTCTGCTTGGCAAAGATGAAGGATGCAAACATTAGTGTGTAGGTTCACAGGCTGCAGTGTTTCTCTCTGCTCGTGACAGACTGTTTTAACTTAGAGTCAGCTGTCCCAGCACAGGATTAACTTTCCAATTAAGACATCATGTCACCAACACAACCAATATACCGAATGTATTGGGACTTAAAGAGACATCACTTCACTCATATGTTTGCCGTGCCTCTACAATGACAGGAGGGTTAAGCCAAAGCTCTCAGAGTTGTGTTTTCAAACCCGTTTGCCCCCGGGGCGGCAGTAGCTCTTGACGCTGTGTTTAATCTCTGGATTTGTGGTAACAGAGAAGACTTCTTATCCACTGACCCATTGGCCCTGAGTGTATGTAATCCACTGCCTTTCAGTCACACAGCCCAGCTGAAATGAACAGAGGAGAGCCACAATGCTGCAGCAGCAGCCAGTGTTGGAGGCTGTGTACACACACACACACAGACACACGGCCTCGTCTGTCCTGACACACATATAGCTCTCCCATGCTTTTGTTCCACAGGGCATCTACTACAGAGCTCAGCCATAATACTCTTATTATAACCAATGCACATGACATTTGACCTTATACCCACTAATGCTAGCATACTCTAGCACACGCTATAGAATAAATATTCCACAATGCCATAAAGTCAGAGCGTAGACATGACAGCAGCAAGGAGTATTTGTGTGAGTGTTTCAATGCTACGTGAAGAGTCATTTTACCAACAAAACAGTTCATCATGTCACACAGAGGCCAAACAAACACCTTGGTCCAATCGATTTTCTGTTGTGTAAATCTCTGTAGGATTACAAAAGGTTGTACCAACTGTCTGCGGCCTATAGATGTAACTTTATTAAATCCCCCTATTGTCCTGCAGCATAAAATTGAGATCCCATTTACAAGGCTTTTCCAGAACCTTAATATTTCATTCCCACAGTGCGTCGGAAAATCGAAACGTTTTCCCCTTCCTCCTGTCACAAATGTAGGGGAAACACGATTTTTTTGTCGCAAACAAACAATGCAGTGAGGTACAGTGAGAGCGAACAGCTAATCTTTGGCAGAAAGCCATCAGAAATACCTTGAAACCTACCCTCCACCCCCCCTTTTTTTCTCAAAAACACATTTGCGGAGCATGCTATAGAGTGCATGCAATTGTTACATCCATTCCACTCTTGAATGCAGTCAATTTCTGACTAGATAAAGGGCTAAATGAAACTAGGGAGAGCGCACAGTGCACACCGCACCGCTTTATATAACCCGCGTTTGTGAGTGTTTGTGTAAGAGGGAGAGTAATAGAGGGCAGAAATTGCAAATGAACAAATGCATGCGTCGCCTATAGCACTCGCACAACTAAATGATTGTGTGTTTGAGGCAGCAGCTAAAATGCCAACCTGGTAATTATGAGCAGTAAAGCCTGCGTGTACACGCGCTTAAGAACAACATGCATGAAACTGAACACAGCAGTAAGGGACTTTCCATATACATAGCATGCATTAAACTGGCATCCAGTGGTATGCTTTCAATCACTCCCTTGTTTTCTGACACACTGAACTGCAGCCATCAAGTGTAACAGTGAATGAAAGTAAACCGGCCAAATTGTAGTGTTTTCTAAGGTCCAAGGGGCATCGCAAGGGTCCAGTCGTCAAACCTGAGTACTGTATGAGAAGATAT